AAAGTAGCACACTTTAACCTTTAGTTCATGAACCAGATCAGGCCCTAAGGAAAGGAGTGGCCTTGCAATGAAACAAGATATTTGGATCCAGTCTGAATGCAAAACGTGTTTGACCACAACATTCTTTACTTTCCTGGTGTTGGCCATAGTAACTCTCTTCCAAGGTTTTACAGTTGCTTCATTTCCTCCTTCTTTAGCAACGCCTATTTTATTGTGAGCATTTTAAACACAGATTACCACACTGCAACTTATTTTGAAACATCATTGATAATAAGCAAAGCCACACCGCTCCCACAGCATTCACACAAAACATCAGGCACCGTTATTACTTCTTGTTTGTACAATGCAGCTCTGTTATGACATTAGCAAAAGATGATGTATAGCCCTTTCCTAATAATCTTAGACTTTGTTTGAAATGGAAAGATTATTTTAGCTAGGGAAGAAGAAAAAAAAGTGGAATTGCTTAATTGAGGTTTCTTGAGTGAAACCATGCATTGGAACACTGTACCCATCCCCCACGTCAGTTCCTAAGTAAATGACTTGTTATGGGAAAAAGTCATTCTGTGCGTTTTCATGTTTGCAAAACACTGCTGCAAGAGCAGGAGAGCAGCAGAGTGCTCAAATTCAATCCCCAGACAAATGTCCAGGAAGAACTGATACCAATGAAAAGGGGATTACTTTCCATGGGGAGAAAACATAAATACAATTTCATTGGAACAGTTGATATGTTATCCAAAGGGGTGATTAAAATGGGATTTATCTCAGGCCTCTATGGAACTGTCAGTATTATTTTGTGTTTATTATGAAGACAGGTGCTGTGTAGGGGACAAATGAATTCCCATAGTTTGCATTATGTGCTGCCTGATCAGTACTTAAATTAAAATCCACTGACACCAACTGTCTTTCTGCTAAAACAAAGCAATGTCAGAGCCTAGCAAACTGTTCTCTCTAGCATTACTATGCAGATAAGAGATTGAAAACACGTTTATGTCACAGTGCACATTTCAGTGTAAGCCTAGACAATGCTCTTTACAATAACAAGGGCATCAAAGAGACAAAACAATCAAGTGCAATTTGAAAACTAAACTATGTTCACTCGAAATGGTCAGGATTACATTTAGCAATGTTTAATATGTTTCAACCTAAACTGCAAACTGACCTGCAGATCTGATTGACAAAAATGTCTGCTTCGAGGTTTTGAGATATACAGTATACACATACGTGAGTATTTCCGAAGCAAAACAGTTATGTTGCATAGGCTCTTGTCCCATTAACCTGATTTATCTTGTGCTGTATGATTACAGAACGCTTTCAAGAGTTTGTATTGTTTAAAGTAATTTGTGCGCCAGGAAATAAAAGGATAACAGCTATTAAATCGCTGCCCATTGGGCTTTTGTTTCCTACTGTACAGCTGTAGCATCTGCCTGTGCTGCTGTGTGATTTGTTTCTGCTTTGTAACAGTTTGGCTGCCTGCCTACTCACTCAGTCAGAGAGGGAGATCCCTGTATTTTTGGGTGGCAGCCAGACTGGAATATCACCAGGCCCAATCCCCTGCACCTTTGCCAATTCCCCACGTCTTCCTTTTCTGTGACAGCACAATTACAACCAAAACAAAGCCCATCTGTAATAAAATCCCCCAGACCACACAAGATAACCCAAAACTCAAATCGCTTCAGCTCCTTTTATTCTCAATAAATGGGAGTATTGCCTTCCAATATTAAAAATGGAAGGTTTTCAATCCCAGTCCTTTAAAATACTGTATGTATTATTTGTCTGGAACATCACCCAAGTGTGCTTGGGTGCTACTTTTTTTCATTGGATTAATGTTTTTTATTTCTCGAAATACAACAAAACATTTATCCAGAAGTCTCAAAAAGAAAATAATTAATGTTGCCAAACTTTAATTTTGCTGTATATGTATATAACTTTGCAGTATATGCTGAAGATTCAGAGTTTAACTTTAGAAATGTATTGCATTTATAGTTTTTTTAAGCGTATCTTAAAGTTGCACTGTATTGAGAATTGAGACCCTAAAGATTCAAACAGACTATAGTGCACATTATAAGTGATAACGTAATATGGTAATATAATTTGGAGATTGGTTATTTTGATTTCATACATTTAAACCATGAATAAAATTCATTTTAATTTTTTTTATATAGCTTGTTTTGCTCCAGGAAATGGATGATTAATACTAAACATGGTTTAAGAATACATGTGTTTACAGATAGCTTTATGTTCTGTACAAATTCACTACAGAACATACAAGTTCATTTGTGACCATTAATTTCAATAAAGTTATTGACAGTTCAAGGATGGTTTAATATTTTCATATAAAGCCACATCTTGTTTCTATTTCCAGTGTTTAATTTATTGCCTTTAAATGTGGTTTAGTTCTGCAACTTTAAAACATACTTAGGCAACTGGCGCCATTCCGTCTGCCAAACCAATATTTATCCTAGACTCTCTTTTTATGTCTTTGAGCATTTCAACTGTACAATTGCAAAATAACAAAGTTAATATGATTGTCATGCTTTAGTAAACAGCTGGTTCCAAATCTTAAATAATTGGCTTCAGTATTTCAGTATTTTATACTCCAATGTACTGTAAATAAAGATAATACAGTATTTGCTTAGATATCAAAATGTACAGTATTGTACAGATATTTATACAGTTTTATAGCAATCTTAAAAAGATCCTAGATGAAAGTAATTTAAAATTATTTTGCATTTGAATAATAAAAAGATACCATCAATCAAAAACGTACAGTACGTTAAGAAAACCATCAGGAAATATATTCCAAATAGCACCAAATAACCAAGTTTATGTTGTAGTTTCCATGACAGAATGATCACTTAATATTTCCGTTAAACACGATAAATTGCATTATCCTGTATTATCCACAGATAATGTTTATTAACAAATAGTTGTGAATGTTTTAGGCTTATGTTTTCATAATTTTCATCGGGTCAAAACTTTTAAATGCAGACTTGCAATCAAGTAAAGTGTGGTGCTTTGTACGCCGATGTCTAACATAAAGAACCCCCACCTTTCTAACAGCTCGATACTTTATTAAGAAGAAAAAATGTGTTTCGTAAAAAAATCTTGATTTAAATAATATATTTAAAATATAAACCGCTGAGGTCAGCAGTCCGATGTAGTTGCGGTAAAATTACACAGAAGAGATTATTATTCTGCCATTTGTGCCCTCTATCATCAATACATTAAAATCAAATATTAGATCAATATTTACAACAATATGTACAAGAGCAGTAAGGATTTTGTGTTGTTGAAAAACTCGAAGGCATTGATGTAGCAGCCTCATGTCTAGTTTATTGTTAGTTGTTTTTTCCCATGGCCTTTAAGCACATTAAGCACTACTGGCTACTAGATTCTAATTATTGCATGTAATAATGCATCTAAACTACATCTAATAAATAATCGAGTCTTTGCATATTTGCTACTTATGTAAGAACAAGTGTATCTCTAAATGTAATAATCAGGATGTTTATCCGAGGAAAGACGAACATACACAGCAAAGAACACAAAAACATGATACCTATTAGATTATACAATCTTGAAATAACACATTTTAAAAGGATCAAAAATTGTAATATTTAATGTAAATAATTCGATTTCTATTACATATGGTGTAATGTGAAGAGTGTATAATAACATATACCCGAAATCTGAAAATGAAAATATCAGTCTGCCATGCATTGAACGGATCAAGCCAGACATTTCAGAAAGTGTTGGCTGCATTTTATCGCCTCCTGAAATAAGAAATGTCATTAATAACCCAATTCAATTTAATCCGGGATATACAACCAGTTAATCTGCACAATTACTTGTCCTGGGGGCTTTGTATGAAGCACAAGGCTAAAACCTATGTTGATTGAAACTAACATATGCAAACAATTTACAACAGACAAAAACTATTCAACGCTGAATTTAAAACTACGTCTTCGCGTAGGTGTACAAATAAATGTGAAATGTTCCGTGTCAAAACATTAACCTATTCAGATGTACATGACGATATGTTCTGGTTCATAACAAATGTCAAACGCGTTTTATTACGTTGTTGTGTGTCTTTTTAAAACAAATATGAATATAAATTGCGCACCATCTACAAAATAAATTATGTCAAGAAATACACGTACACGTTTAACGCATCACTGCTTGTTCCACATTTCATGAGGCCACTGAGGGGCAGACGTCATCATTTCTGGTGTATCCAAGGGTACAATTAATAAAAAAGCATGGTTAAAGGTAAATTAATTGTATTTTATTATAGTGTGACTAGCTATATTTGATAGGAAATTAAAACAAATAACTATAGCTAGCTCATATTTCACCATTGTAAAGTTATCGTGCGCGCTTTCTCATTGGACAATAATTAAATAACAATTTGCATGACAGTATGCATTTTGAAACAGCAACTCTCAAGTTTTCTTTTGTGCACCAACTTTATTGGCAAATAGGCTTAGTGCTATCTTGTGACCTTGGCTAAACTAGATTATACTGTATTAAAGTTTTACTATTTTATAACCCGAGTATTGGAAATAATGCAAATAGAAAGATACAACCTCCTTAACTTATTTAAAGTCCTAAGACCAAAATGTGAAGAAAACAGCGAAGTACAGCACACGCATGCCTCTCTCTGTCCTGGTAACCCTCGCAAGTCGAAGGTGATCGTTCTTCCTGTGAATCCGGAGATCTAAGTAATTCAGTGTACTGTAACCATAAAGCGCTAGCCATATTCACAAGTTCACAAATTCTTCCACAGCTCCAGCGAGAGCAGCTGGCCTACTCATTGTAATAATGTATGAAGCGTGTACGAATCTACTCAACACAGCTACACATGCTACAAAATAATATGTATTACAGACATCTACAGTATATACAGTACTGTATGTTTGGAAAATTACAGACCCTCGACACCGATAGAAAGCTGTTTTAAACTTCCCCTAGTCAGTGTTGATGAATGAGGTTAGCCTTACCTGTTTGAACTGTTCCTCGTAAGTCCATTCGTGGTGCTGTGATTGTCCCTGCTGTGACAGTCCACCGGGAGATTCAGACTGTCCCGGAGTGGGATACTGAGACTGTCCGACTCTGGACAGCGTATGCGCTGCGGCTGCCTTCGTTGACTGTCCCGGTGCTGCTTGTATCGGGTGGAGAGGCTGAAAGTGAGTTAAGTCCCCTTCCATGTCTTCATCCACGACACCTTCATCTTCCAGTTCATCTTCTTCTAGGTCCCGATCTTCATCTTCCATCCCGCGATCACCCTCCAGTTCATCGTCCATATCCGAGTCTTCAGTCGGGTCTGCCTGCCTCTGCACTGCATGGTGGGGCTGCGGTCGCTCTGCTGTGCTTGAAGCCGAGCAAGGATCAGGTAGTCCTGCGGCGAATGAGCCACGGACTGCTGCCTGGTAGTGACGGAAAGCTATGGCTTGCTGTTGTTGGATCTGTGTCTCCACCATGGATCTTATCTCTTTTTCCTTCTCTGCTTGCCGGAGCTTCTCTTCCAGCGCTAGTCGTGCTGCTTGCTGCCGCTGGAGATTTTCCATGACCGCCTCCAGCTTCATGCCGCCGCTGGGCTGATGAGACTGCGAGCCGGAGAAGTGGCTGTGAGCAGAGGCAGTAGATACCAACAGGGGAAGGGTGTTCGCTGAAGAGAAAGCAGCTTGCTAGACAGGGCGAAAAGACAAGAGATCAGATCTGAATCGAGGGTAGTTGAAGACTACCTTTAAGTGGCTTGTGGAAAAAAAAAGAAAAAAAACTAAAGAGTGGAAAAGCCCTTAAAGAAGAGCTCTGGAAGCAATGAATAGAGCGCCGGAAAAAGACATGCTCTAAACGGAAATATTTCACTATGGTCATTGTTGTCATTGTCTAGTTTTAGTCTTTTGTTTTTTCCTAAAACAACTGATAATCACATGATGAAATTATATCTGATTATGTCCGTGATATTTTCCCAACAGGTAGTGATTTTAGTAACTACATACTGTAGAGCCGCTTGACCTTAACTATTACGCTGATACCCTAATAGCTTCTTTAAAAACTTTTTTAGAAGTTTTGAATTCGTATTACACTCAGAAAACAGCATTAATAATGTTGTTTGTAGTGTGGCAATATGATTAATAAACAAGTAACATTTGGCATTTTTGCATTACAAGAATAATTGGCGTTTTTGTCAACGTACAGTGAATGTTGTTTAACGCCATGTGGTTCGTTTAATAAAGATCAATTAAATACATTCCAAACTTTAAAATATTAGGAGATATATTTGCGTATTTTACTTGAAACGATTTAAGCCGGTGTATGAAACTTTATCACGAGTATGCAAAAATACATAATATTGTAACACTCGATAGTCTACATTTTTATTTAATTCGTAATGAAGGTATAAAAGCATAAAATCTAAACAAAATGCTTACCAAAGCAGATTTTGTTGCAATGCTGGTGTTATCAACCATGCTTCTTCTGCCGGTGTCTGAAACGCAATATTAAATAGTATGATAGTTTTCCTTTCGGGGGGGAAAGTTAGATGCGAGTGTATTCCCTTTTGTACATTGAGACCAGTCGAATAAATTGTTTGCAATCTGAATATGTGGTGATTCTTGAAGCCCCGAAGGTTTTGGCAACAAGTGGTAGTCAAAGCCAGAATGACCTCTTCAGCGAGAGATCAGCCCTTCTGCTCACATTTGCTAACAACACGTCAATAGAGTGATAAATAGAGAGGGCAGGGTCTACTGACAGCCAGGGAAATACAGTTTAACAACCAGAAAGAGGGAGCTCGGATAGAAGAATACAGTATCCGATAGCTTAGTAATGACAGGGGAGGGTCTTGTTACTTTGAAATGTTCTATACGAAATTATTTTATGGAACCCCTGATCGAATTAATTTTAGATTAAGTAAGCATGCACAAATAAATTACGAAATTACAAACGAAAACGTAGGTGAGATTTTGATGAAAGTGTATTAGAGGTAAGGTAAATGCTTGCCAACATGTACAGTATACCGGCATATATTTAGTCAAGCAATCAATTTTACTAAATACTGGAGAATAATCTTATAACACCTATCACCTTCACAAGAGAAAATTATTTTAAACAGATTAATCAGATGTGACTGACTACTCGCAGGAGTATCAACTCGCATCGGACTGGTCATAATTATTAATATAAGAGTTCACAAAGTTTTCTTCAGCTAATTTAGCAAACCTTACAGACAATCACCAAAGCACTAACTCATAAAAACAAATAAATACACTACATCAATACTCATCAGTCTCCAAACTAACTAAAACTAAAACCTTTAGTACATGGAAGGACTTTCTTATAATTTTGTTTTTACACTGAACTGAATCCCGAGGGTCTTGATCAAGTGAATAATGTTCCTTTTCCTTTCTTTTTGTATGTACAGTTGTTCCAAGGAATTCCAAGGAATTATTTGAGGATAAGAACATTTGTTCCTTTACAAATAAATTGTGCCCTTTTGTATGTCTCAGTGTAATGAAAACAACAATATTACAGTTCAGAATTTGTATGATGAAGATTCCAAAGACCTGCTGTGCAAGTAGTGATTTTACTATAGACACTAAACTGTTCATAGTATGATGCTGCTTTATATTGTTTTTGTGAAGAGAAAAATCCAACACCTGACCATTAAGCTATTTTGTGAAGTATGCATTAATACATGAGGAAAGTTAACCTCTTCCCTCTAGAGTAGGGGTTTCGGAGAGCTACCATCCTACAGATTACAGTATATATATCATACTTAAATTAGCAATTTGTAAATTTGTAAAGACTTAGAGTGAGGTTTCTTCCATTTAGTAAGCTAGCTGGCTACAGGAATGGCCAACAGTCGTCCTTGAGCCATATACTGTACTACAAAGTTGGCAGTTTCATTTAAAATGATCCTTAAAATACTTACTGGGACACGTCAGCTGTTTAAGTGGTCAAAACTAAAAAGTTTGAAGCATTTATAAATTGATGTTTTAACAGTGATCTATAATTGCTGAATTTAAGCTCTTCAGGATATGTTTTTGTCTGATTAGTGCAAAATCAAGTCAAAATTAATGTACATTAGAAAACTGTAAGAGTTTTCACTTGTGCAACTCACAGTGAAAGAAACGGAGTATCAGTTATGTTTTTGGTAAAATTCCAGTTCCTCTCTTATGATGCATTTTGTGTGCAAAGTACTGTATAATTAAAAGTATTACTATAGAAAACCCACAAAAGTCTAAATGATAAATTATCATATATAAACCATTGATTAAGTCTATGCCGTCTTTCATCACTGTCAGACTCTCAGATCATACTTGTAATAAATTCCCATTTGAAACAGTTATCATAAAATGGGTGACAAATACCAGGGGAATCTAACCCTCATTCAGGCAACTTGATTATTGCTGGCTGTATGATTGGTGATTTCTCAAAAAGGAACCAATTTCATTTGGATGTTGTGGGAGTGTGCTACTGCAGGTAAGGGAATATTTTACCTGCTGTTGTTCACCGCAGCCTAAACAAACCTGGTGTGTGAATAAAGCATCAATGCAGCTGTGTCTTAATGAGTAAAGCACAACAAACATGGGTGACTGCTACAGGAATGATTTCTTCAATGTTGACATATCATCAATACTAATAGTATTTTTTTCAGGTCCACAGAAATTTAGTGGTGCTGTGTGCTATTTATTATTCCACCCGTTTGAAACTAGACATAAACAAAACTGCAACACAGACACCAGGGCCCTGCCATATGGAAACTAAATAATTAACAGAGTTTTAAATCATCACTGAATGCCTCATATGCTTTATACATTTAGTGTAATTTGTTTTGGTCTTATTTCTTTGTATGATAGTGTAGTATAACAGTTTACCTTACATCCCTTTTTAGTGGCTACATACCTCTTGCTGAAAAAGAAATAAAGAGAACTATATAGAGAGACATAAAAGTAACACCAGCATAAAAGCAGATTTCTGTTATCAATGTGAGATCACTATTTTTTATATGATTACAAATATTTTTAAAAAGGTTCTGCTAGTATTTCCAGTTGTTTCAGAGGTTTTTTGATGCCCTGTAAATCAATTGTTACTTTGAAAAGTTTTCAAAATGCACAAACCTTATTCCTGTGTATTGAAGAAGCAGAAGGAAAGCAAGGCGAGAGACATCAGGTAGAACATCCATTATGTCAGTCACAAGATATTACTAGATTAAATTTATTACTAGATGGTTTCATTGTAAATACCTCCAAACAAGCTGGTGACCTCATATGCAACACCTGCATACAAAACCATAATCTCCAAAAGTAAATCCTGCAGCACATTAGACAAAATTAAAGATTTTCGATGAGGTAATAAATTCATATGCTATTTATTAGCCATGTAACAAGGTTAAAAGTTACATAATGAAAGCAATCTTAACACATCTAAGGATGTGAATTACCACGGCCATAAAATGAATGGAAGTAAGGGTAATAAAAAGTGATTTGATATGATAAGTAAAAAGCTGATATCTCTTAGCATTTATATCACACAAGAAGGAACATCATGGGGCTGTAATTTCAGTTCTAGAATTGGTGAAAGTCAAAGTAAAAATAAGACTGAAAGAAAAAGAAAAATGTTTTCTTTAAATAAATTAAAGACCTTGACTTTGGAACAGTCTACCAAATTGTCAGTATGATTAATGAAAAAAGGGAAGAACTTGTGAAATGAAAAGACAGAAATTAATCAAGACAGACATGCATTCTCAATTAGTTATGCTAGAACACTGTGAAAAACAAAAATGTTATGGTCTTGCTATTAAGAAACCATAAGGTTTTATATCAATTTTATATGAAATAAAAGTCAGTGATCATCAAGCACATATGCAAGGATGCATTGTGAAAGATATGATTGACATGGATCAAAGAAGACTGCTTTTTGAGACTCAAAAGAAGGATGTGAATTCTCAAAAAACAGTTTGTGCACCTCGAGTCAAAAACTGGGATGCTCCCACTTGACCAGTACTTGCTTGGTTCTTCCAGACAGTGAAATGATTCCTTTGAGGAGCCTTGAGGAAAAAAGGAAATCAGGCTTTCTGATGTTTGGGATTATAGATACAGTGCTCCCCAACTTGTATAAATCTGACATTATCTAAAAACATCCTTCGCAGTTTTGTACAACTTAATATTATGTGCATGAGTAATATCTTCTTTTATATGTCATGTCATGAATACTGTATGTCCTGTTATGAAAAGTGTTCTGTGATGCTTAAGGCTTACGTTCTGCTCTTATTATTAAAGTATGGTATAGTACTGTATATTGTAACAACAACGACAACAACAACAACAACAACAACAACAACAACAACAACAACAACAACAACACTGTAATAGTGTAATAGAGTAATTTGTATTGTTTGTATTGATAACACTTGTAAATAATGTTGTATTTCTACAGTAGAGTAACTGTTACAGCAAGCAACAAGATACATCCTGAACGAGATGATAGACCAATGCAAAGGCAAAGCACATTACAACCACTATCCCTTTTCAAATTTCTAATTGTGATTAAACAGATTTTCTATGGAAGTTTATGAAGTCCTAACACAGCTCTTGCAACAGTTAATGAGAGGTTTTATCTCCTTGTGAGGACCATCAATCGGTCATCTGCAACCATGAGTCATGGTTGAAGACCATCATGACAGTTACACATCTGACCATCTGAAGTTACAGGTCCCAAATTAAAGTCTATGTTTTTGTTGTTATGATAAGCTTAAATGTCAAATCCTGTTCTCACTTTCATCCAGGAATTCATAAGGATTTTCAATTCCTTAATATTCTTTTTGCAGAGAACTTTCAGTTTTCAGAGAAAGTTCAGTTGTGCTAGCATCCCCAGTTTGAAGCTGAAAACTGACATTTTAAAGCTGAAATTCTGAACTGAAATTATTATTGCCACAATCAACTTTTGAAGAAACTGTCATTTTTAAATTCAGTATCTGGAGAGCCATCAGAGATCAAGTTATTGAAAAACATGGGCTGATTTTGCAATACTCCAGCAAAGACGGCAGGTTTTATTATTACAGGAATCAAAACGCTTACCCTAATCTTCCATGTTAGTAAATACGAGTAAATATTTTAATCTGTTTTATTTCTGAAGGATCTTATATTCTTCAATAAATAATAGATGACTCTTTTTTTCCTTGATGACACTAGTCATTCATGTCTCAGGAAAACAACATGGCAATAACAGGGAATTGTAACTTCTGCTTTGAGAACAATTGCATAGAATGTTAAATTTAATGCACAGTGTATTAATTCTTTCTTGTGTTCATGCGTATAATACTCTTAATTTTAAGACGATGGTTTTCTAAAGGACAATCTTTTATACTTACAGTATTCAACAATAGCAAAGTCACATTGTTTCCTTGACATAACCATTGTTATCCATTTTGATACATATCAAATACAGTAATCGATTCTGGTTTTAATAATTTGCCTATATAGTAAT